GTGGGATCTGAATCCCTCCTGTCGCCTTGACCGCCGGATGGACAGATGTCAAGACACCTCAGCGCCCTGACCCCCAGGGTCTTTTCTGTCTGAAGACAAAAGCGTGTCTGGTCTGGGACATCCCAAGGACAAAAGGAGGCAGAAGAAGGCCCACCCCTCCCCACCAAACCACACCAGTGAAGATTTCTACAAGCCAGAGATGAGAGGGCTGGCAGGCGACAGACTCGTCTGCCCTCTCCTCAGCCCTCCTTCCGGGCCCACGACAGGCAGGAGCAAGGCAAGAGAAGGAGGCGGCTACACGTCCTGCAGAGCACTGTGAAAAGACACCACCTTCCCAAGCCTGCACACTGGGCCCAGGCTGCGGTGGGTCACACCATCCCCTCGGTCCATCACCTCCCTCCAGAGGGAGACAGCCATTGGGCGGCTGGGCAAAGTCTGTCAGAGAGAGCTGACTTGTGGTGGGAACTGCATTACACGTCACAACTGTCTGTGCACATCCCAGTCTGGCGCAGATCACCCACAAAAGAGGACCTAGAAGGCGCTGCTCTCAACACACATTCATCAGAGAGAGGAAAAAATGACCCAAAGAGCACCTGGTGTTTATCTGCTGTTTGTCTTTCCAGAATTCAAAGCCCTTCCTTCCCAAGAGGTGTTAAAATAATGGCTGATAAGCCTAAGAGAAAGCAGTGAGAACAAAAAAATTAACCATCAGCTTCCACGGCAGAACCAGAACAAAAACTCACATGTTCTGGCCCTTAGTGTCCTAAGAGTTCTACAGCCTGAAACCATACATGCGTTCGCACAAAGTCCCAACCCAAACAGGGCCCCTCTCAGCACTCACACCAGGAGCCCCAGCGGGCTGACAACCGAGGGCACAGATGAACTGTACTGCCAGAGCCAGGAACACAAAGGCAAAAATGAATCACAGGCTGCCCTCAGGGAGCTGCCATTTCATCAGGGAAAACACCCAGTGCTCCCTACAGATGGCCCTCCAGCCAAGCCAGGAAAGGCTGTGCCGCTGCCCCACCCCAACTATGCCACTGGCAAAGCAGGGTCTGCAACCAGAACTGGGAGCATCTAGAAAAACAAAAAACAACCTGAGGCAGGATGAAGAACAGAAGTGGCCCCGTGGGCCATTCCCATTTCGAAGCCCGGCCTGGGCAGAGGGCCCTGAGCAACCTTAGCAGCAGCAACTGTCTCGGGCCACCAGCCCAGGTTTCTAGCAGGTGAAAGGGAGCACGGCTCCAGCCTCTGTGCTCCCAGGATGGTGAAAACACCGGGACAAACACGCAGGGCCCTCCGCCGACTCCTCTGGGGGCCTAGTATCTGAGACTAAAGATTGAGAATCCCAACAGTCGGGGAGCCAGAACCACCCGAAGCTTCCCCAAGCCTAGCGATGCCAGGAAGAAATCATCCCAGAGCCAACTCAGAGCCCTGATTTGATTCCAAGACCCCAGCTAGAGAAGACCAGAGTCCTCTGACGCTACCTGGGGACCCGGGGCTGGAAGCTCATTCCAGACGTCGAGGCTCCCAAAAGACTGCCCAGAACCAGGGAAGCAGCCGGACCGGGGCCCCTCTTTTAAGCTCTCCAAGAGGGCTCCTGAAGCACAACAGGGGAAACTTCCTTAAACACCCAGAAAATCCAAAGTGAGAAGAAATCCAAGCTGGGAGTACCCAAATGTGCGTAAACAAGCCACGGAGAGAGCCTCCAAGAAAGTCATCTTCTCTCTGCCCGGGAGTCTGAGATTCACGGGGGCTGTGGCTACAGTTACACAGATAGAGGCACAGTGTTCTGTTACTAGCCTGGCAATCTGAAACCCAATCTTCCAAGACAGGGCAGCTCTGAAAGCCCTTGAAAACCCCTCAAGACACAGAAAGTTGACTGGGTCCCACTGCTTGGGCCGTCCTAACTAAAACCTTTGCTATAAACAGCACTTGTCTCTGGACGTATTCGCCATCACGATGGCCCCGAGCCGCCAGCAGTCAAAGGGCTCCCTCAAGAAACCCTGAGACGATGTGACCCTGAGATGGCGTCACCTTTCCTCAAAGCACCCCAGGGCGCCTCAGGGAGGATGACTCAGCCCCCGGAGGGAAACGCTGCCAACTTTAGCTACTCTGGCCCATGCCTCCCAGCCAGCCAGGGCTCACCTCGAGTGACCACCCCAAAGAATTCGGCCCAAGGGGAAAAGTGACTGGCGGCTGCTATCCCCATCTGCGTGGGCCACCGAAGAGGCATCACAACCAACGTTCTATCCATGCCGAATTCAACCCTTCTTCTGCGTCTTCTAAACTCAGTAACTCCAAACAAGGAGAGAAGAGACGGCAGGTAAAAATGCTCCACTCGTGTCTCTTTTGTGGAGAGGAAGATGTCTCGGGCCTCCTAACAACTGCGCAAACGCCCGACAGCAAAAGGACCACCAGACAAGTGGCAGGGTCCTTTGACCCTTTGCTTTCTGCAATCTTCAGCAGAGATCCTGGTAACATTCCTGTGCACCCTTCACCCAAGACCACGCACGGTCCTCCTCTCGTGTCCTGAGTACGAAGAGTTAACTCTGAGGATCTTGTCTGATTTGTGCAGGCGAGGGCTCTCACAAGTGAGAGCCTACGCTCTGGCACTGCCCGGGCTGGGCGTCTGATGAATGCCCACTGACATGAGCACGAGGGCAGAGACCTCAGAGTTAACTGGCCAGAGGTATTTAGCAGTCGGAAAGTCCACTTCCTTTGCCCTCAAAGGATGTCATCTTCCTTCCTGCCCAACTGTTCCACAGGGAGATGGGTGGGCCCTGGGACAACGTCAGGGAGCCGGCCAGATGGGGTCAGGGCCTGAGATTACAGTAAGCATGACGTGGCCACACGGGCAGACACAAGAAGGAGCTGCCCTGCCCGAAGCTCTCGGACCTCGAGAGCCTCCTGGTCTCCTTACCAGGGGCTGTGGGTCGCCACTAATAAAATCAAGGGCACCCACTGTATCAGGCCCCCATCTTGCCAGCTCCTTGTGCCTTTCCAAGCCCACAAGCCTGCACAGGCAGCTGTCTGGACGTCATCAGCTAAACCTCATGATGGCAGGAAAGGTAGGCAGGCATCACTGACACACCAGAGTTCGCAGGAATTCCAAGGTCAACAGGGCCGTCTTTAAGTGATGATTCTATTATGGTTGGTCTGGACAGAAAGAGGAGCAGGGCCCACTAGCGCCAAGTACATTACGAAATATGAAGCATCCACCTCTGGGGGTGCCGAGCTGGGCTTGGCACAAAGTAAGCTAAATTAAGCTCTCGGAGTTTATAAAATAAACCACCCAGAAAAGGGGGAAGATGGAGAGACGAGGAAGCAGCAGGCAAAATGAAGGGGGAGCTGCCGGGAAGGATGTCCCCTCGATACAGCTCTCCCTCGTGGACCCAAAGAACAAGGTGCCCAGAAAGAAGCACAGGCCTACAGGAATCTACAGGCAGCACCCGGGACTCAGCACTGATTAAGCACCTACTGCGTGCCAGGCAGGAGAGAAAGGTAGCACCTGCCCTCAGGGTGCCCTCAGCCCTGGCAGGCTGAGCTGGAGGGAATCCTCTCCAACCTCGCCAACAGGTGCCCCTCCAGGAACTGCCCGGCTCTCCCACACAGGCCCTCGGGAAGCCTCCTCCTGCTCCTGCCGCCCAGGGAGCTGCTCTCCACAGGAAGCAGAAACCACCCCACACTTAGGGCTACTTTCTCAGCAGAGGGGAATCCCTCTGAACCTCCCTGGCCGAAAGCCCACAGAGTGGAGCAGCACCTGAGGAAGGCACCGGAAGAAGAGGGACCTGGGGAACACGGAAGCGCTCTGGGCATCGGCCGAGTGGGAGGGGATCCCTGGAAATTCTGCAAGGACAGAAGAGGACAGAGATGGAGGGCAGATGCCCCTCCGGTGGCACCCTGGGAGAGCCACGTGGGGGAGACAGGGACGATCTGGAGCCAGAGGCCAGCTCAGCCACCTGCCCCCTGCAAGCCTCTGTCTCTCTGAACGGGGGGAAGCCGGACCGGCCGCCTCACCGGTCGCTGTGCCAGGGGAAGGCAGAGGGCTGGGGGCCAGACGAGAAGCTTCGGTCACAAGCTGCACGTGAAGCAATCCGTGGGGGAGCACCGATGAAGGGCACAAACTCCCAGGGACGCCACCCCTCTTCTCAAAGGGCTTGCCCGAGCATTGGGAGGGTAACAGGCCACACAAAGGGGCACATAAAGAAAACAGGCGCAAGGAAGTCTGGGGAGGAGAGAGAAGAGTCAGAGCGACAGTGCCCAAAGTCTGGAAAAGCAGGTCGGGCGGCCAGGTGGAGAGGGCTCCGAAAGCACACAGGAGCTTATGGATTGTTCGGACCCTCCGGGGACAGCCAAGCATGAGGCTCACCCCCACTCTGTAGCAGGGAAAACTGAGGCCGAGGCGCCCTCCTCCAAGGGCACCCACCCACACCTGCGGTGACAAGGCTGCCACCCACAAGCGCTGCCCGCCAAGGGCAGGCGATGGAGCTGCCCAGGGGGCAAGGGTCAGAAGGGCCGCGGGCACTGGGTTCGAGTCATCCCCGACACACGCCACCACGACCCCTGCCACCGGAGAAACTCTGGACGAGTTACCTAAGGCCTGGGTCTCCGCGTCCTCACCTGCAAACCGGGAGGGGCTGGACCGAACGGCCCCCGAGCTCCCCCAGATGTCAATGAACGTCAGGAAAGGCCCGCGGGCTTACAAAGCCAGAGGGGCAGCCCGAACACCCGGACCCGCCCGGGAGCCTCAGTTTCCCCCCTCGGTCAAGCCTCGCAGCAGCTGCTTCACGCGGCGCGGGGCGGGGGTGGTTCGGACACCCGCCTAGCTCAGCACCCCCAGGGGTGGACAAAGGGCGCGCCAGGCGGCCCGGCGGGGTGACCTTGGACCGGACCGGCCTGCTGCCTCAGTTTCCTCGCCCCGCCAGGCTCCGCAGGCAGGTGGGGGCGGGGCCGCCCCTCCCCCCGCCCCTCCCCCGCTCACGTGCGCGCCGCCTCACCTGGGCACGCAGCTGGCCGAGCTCCGGTCCACCTCCCAGGTGGCGTACAGGTTCATCTGCACCGGCGCGGGCGCGGGGCTGGCGGCGAGGCCGGGGCCGGGCCCGAGGGCGGCGGGGCCCGAGGCCCCAGGCCCGGCGGCCGCGGTAGACGCGG